CTCGTAATACGTGTAGGACAATATTGTAATACTTCTACTGTTTCCAGCAGGAAACGTACGGTGTTATTGCTTGCAATTCTAATTGACAGTTCATTATATATACACATATTTTAAATTGTAGGTTATCTCCGCACAACATAAATCTAATAATACAGAGGTAAGTTTTTCCATGTCACACTGAGTTGCTAAAAGGTGATACTTACATTCTTGTGCTCAACTTAAATAACAAAGAAAAGTACTTAACGTAGACAATCTTTACATTTCTCCCATTTCCCTAAAATGGCTCTGAATCATCTTAAATTAGAATCCTTATAACAAGCTTTAAAATAGGACCATTAGAGTAAACAAGTAAAGCAGTGTCAGTAATGGCAACTAAACTAATCGTGCTAGCTGGAGTGACCTGTGTAAGTTTACGACCAAAATGAACTTTCAGAAATGCCGTTGTAATTTATTGTTATAACAGAGCAACTTTAATAAGCAGAATCTGTTAAATAATTAGCCCACAACCTAAAAAAAACGATTTAACGTATTTCTAAGAAAAACCGTTACGATTTTGCCATACATTTCAAAAGAATTGAACTCTTTTTTAATCAACCACTGCTGATTACTTATGGACCGTGTTAATGGAACCCTTAACATCAACTGATTTTGTTGATGCATCTTGGACCAATCTAGATATTATCAGACTTCTCGTTCATCAGAAACTCAAAATTGATTTTTATTGTGTCCTCGGTAAGATTGAGAAAAACGAGTATAGTACTGTTAAAGGGTACTACCTCTGTATATCGTAGATCAACATTACTTAAGTAATAGAGGGAGCTGATTTATGTGAAGTCTCGAATATATCTTGTTGCATTGACAGAAAGGTAGGACAATATTTAGTTCAATCAAAAAGTCAACTAACGATTCAGCAAATTTTAAATACTTCGACTTTTCATTTCTTTTTACTGTTGTTAATTTTTGTTTCACAGAGCTGACTCTTAACACGAAACGAAGTGTGCTTACGGCCAGTTTCGAATTCAAACTACCTCGAGGTCGATTTAGTTACGACTATATCATCATAGGAACTGATCCAGCAACCTAAAGACTCGTTCGTGTTCTTCCAATCCTAGATGAAATAACCAAATAATTTTATAAATAAAGTATTTATATTTTACAGCCTATTCTTCATAGTATTATCTCAGAGTTCTATAATATATTTATTTATACCTTTTACCATGTGTCAAAGCCCTCTATTATAAACTGTTGATTAGTGTTAGGTCAGTTAACATGCATAACCTTTAGAATTGGGATAAGTGAAAGATAAGTGACAATAAACTATTAAATTAATTTCCACTGAAAGCGCCATCAGCCTACTGCCAACAGCAGTGTTAAGTATACCTTGATTAAGTCAAAGAAAGGCACACATTGGTATTTTCCATTTATTTAAAACGATGAATTTTGGACAAAAAAATGTGAAACAACAAGGTGGTGGGCACTGTGAAGCGCGTGTATCAATGATGTAAGATTTACCCTACAAATTATTCGTTTCAAGATCTCGAACTCCCACCTTTCTCATATTTCTTTTTTACCTAAAATTATTATCTTCCAGGTTATTTGAAGTTTTTTGGTACACTTATACCTGAGTATAACCATTTTGAAAACATATGTATTGCAGAACTTATATCTGCATGTGTGTTATGACTATTGCTATGTCTCGCCAAAAGCAATAACAATGCATATATTTATCTATTTTTGTTTTAAATTCCCCTTTCGTTGAAAAAATACTTTTATCATTCAACTTTTTACCACTATTTCCATTCCAAATAATAATATGCTATAACTGTAAGATACATTGGTTCTCGATTAGGGCAAAAAAATATTTGACATTAATCGAAGTTAGATTGAGAGGAAACTGATCCAGATTTTTATACAACAGAGGCTACCACCAATGAAGATGAAAAAAATTGGGTTAATAGGCAAGGTAGTAGGTTAATAAACAATCATTGTTAGCTATTCTGTTTGCAGCTTTCATTACATACAATGTTAGACAGCAAACTTTCCTCGATTATTGTATCCGTATTGCTGTTATTGCAGTTAATGGAATGCTAAATGCCACAGCATATTGAATTAAAATAATAAAGCAAACGTAAAATTTAAGCAATAAGTACTTGTCAGCTGTTTTATGAAGTAAACTTGCACACGTCGAATTTTTTTTTATTGTTTACCAGTTGCTAAATAATATTCTTTACGACAACCGCAATAAATAATTCGCTTAGATATTAGCCAAAATGCTCAAAACTAGAAAATATTTATAAAAGATCTTTAAATTTCTGCTCTTTCTTGAAAGAAAACTTTTTTCCACGCATATATTGACGCACGCAATTTCCCAAATTTTTCCCAATTTCAACTCGGATGAATCCCTCAATGATGTAAATTCTAGGTGGCAAAAGTGCATCTTTAACACCTTGTGTTTTATGCGTTTCCTCTGCATAAAGCACTGCCGAAATATTAGATTTATCTAAGGCAACAGCACTATTGCTAAGAGAAATGCTCAAAACTGATTTGAGAACGGTGTCCGGGATCTAGAGCGTGCCCCCCGGCGCTATCGACCCTGCATTTTTGGAAAAAGACAGCCGACAAACAACTCAGGAATTAGTCGGAAAGATGGGCTGCCACACGACCTTCGCAAATCACCTCAACTTCATTAGGTTTTGACAAAGACTCGAAGCTTGGGTTCCTAATGGATTCTTTGTATACACCAAAGAATTACGGCCTTTTCAGCACAATGACCGACTTCTTCTCAGCGTTGTCATCGACGATCAGAAGTGGTATTTATACATCTACATGAACTAGGGATTTGAGTGAATGGTTCTGGAGAGAGACCAAGGCCTAAAATCCAGCCTAAAAAAATTAAAAAAGGATATATTGTGCGTTTTGTGTAACTGCAAGGGTCTAAGTCACTGAGAATTGCCTCCTATGAACCAGACGGCACGTCTAATTGACACATTCGCAGCAAACTGCTGTGGTAAAGTATTTACCTACTAACCATAGGACACATGGCTATCTGGATACGATTCCAAGCATAGACAAACTTTGTTTCTCAGTGGAAGCTAAACGTTTGATGAAATGCCTAACGGCGGTTTCAAACGTAAACCGCGGAAGAATTATTCCATAAAATGAATGAAAATATACGACTCTTTTGGACCCCCTTTTCGAGAGCAAATCGAAGTTATTGTTTAGGCTTTGAAGAGCGCAACACTTGGAATTAATCTGACCACGGCCTGCACCGCAAGTTTACCGGTTATTAAGGTTTTCACACTATTTTGCTCATTTAACCCTTTTTAAACTAAATCGAACGAAAACGAATGTGTATTCATCCCGTGTACAGTCACATAAAAGTGTTTAACTAGATATTTTATGTTCCTATAGACCTCGCTGTAAAATAGCCGGCCGTAAAAATTCTTTAACAGAATTTGGAAAAAACATACGTTCGCCAAGAGCTAAAGTGCTAGCTCTAATAAAAAAGATGACAAAAGCTTGTACGAATCATTCTCCAAAAAACAATTTGTCGCTTGTAGTATAGAAATAGAGCTCTCATTATACGGGATAACGACCTTCGAGACAATTACCTTCTCTGTATTATAATTGCTACGTTGTACTTTTAACTACACGTACATGAGAATTCACTATTTTGAAAATATAGGCTATCTTAGATTACCTGACAATACGGTAAATGTATTTATCTAAAGATAAAAGCATTATAGCGTCTGAGAATAAAGGATAAAAAATAAGCTTGTTAGCGAGAACTCCCTGATGAGAAAGAGAAATTCGTTCATGGAGCACAGATGCGGATATCTGTTATACGATAGAATTCATACCGCTAAACAAGACTCGATGTACTTTTCGAAAGTACAAGTTTTAAGTTGGCTATTGGCTACGAACTACGTAATTGAGTCGGTATACACAAACATTCGCACAAGATTCAAATAAGACGAAAATAGTCTACATTACAAATATTCTGTTGTAAATAAAATCATGTCATATCAGTCTCTAAGGGTAAACAGGCAGCTTTAGAATTTGGATGAGAGCCAACGCCAGCAGTTAGCACTACTGTCTAGTTTCGTCAATCAAAACGTTCAAAATGACCAACCCAGCAGAAAAAAGTTCAAAAGTTTTCTTAACCCGACGAAAGCCATCGTATGTTCATGGATATGTATTCACTAACCCAATTATTCTTTGTGTCTAAGTAATGACCTAATAGAAGTTATATATAACTTATATATATGTATAATATAAAGGTTCTTAAGTATAGGAACCTAACCTTTTCGTTCAATAACATAATCGATATAAAACACAACTGTTTGAATTTCCAAATATTACTTTTCAGGCGGTCTTCGAGGTAACATTCAACGAAGATTCGGCGAAGTCCAACGTTTGTACCTGACGTTTTTTTGTACTAGATTTCTGTGAAATGATTATTTGCAATTATTGGTTAATTTCTAATTATTAATAGAATAGAGCAGGACGATTGACCATCGTCAGTCAGAAGCCTTCCTTGGTCGAAATAGACAACACAGAGCCCCTGGTTGAACTCCACATTTCCAGAGTCTTTCTATACCAATTAAAACTACATGCAGTTATCCTCCGGTAAGTGACGCGTTAACTGTTACGAAACATTGAAACGTTATGTGCTTTAAAGAGAACGGAAGTTGCTTCTCATTAGTGCCTTGGTGTCCATATGTCTCTCTCTAAACATTAGAATAACATCACTCCGATACAACTTTAATGAACACAGCTCAGCTATTTGCTTATTTCATACTACGTTGCTTAGGCTCGGTTGTAGAGCTCGGCTTACTTTTGTGTTACAAAATATTTCCTCGCCTTGTGGAAATGGCGTACACAGCTTTTTGGAGCACATTGCCGTGTGGCAACTTCCTACTTATTTTCCCTCCATTAGCCTGATCTCACAACTACGTTCTCATTAGGCGTTACACTCTCGAAAAAAAAACACCGCACACTTCAAACTCTTCACCAATTGTTTGTTTATTGGTGATGACCAATTACCAGCTGTATTTGTACAACCATATGACGAAGGAGAGTACTACCATTTTCTCTAGCGCTTAAGACGCATCTGGAGGGTGTTTCTCCTCTTCCAGCTGGCACGGCGAGACCCACCGATAGTCTTCGTGTACCGACGACCCTTGCCAAGACCACGGTGTTTGCGGCCAACCGATGTAAGGCCACGTTGTTCGCGATGCTTGTGCACAGGTTTGCACACCCAATTCATGCGAGGATCGCGTCGGATGGCCTTGTGGAATGGATCAACACAAATAACCTCGAAGTACTTATAGGTGGCATCCTGAGCCACCCAATATGAGTTTAGCACCACAAGGGCCTTCACGCGTTTGCCAACGCGCCCCTCAGCGATCGCCTGATGATTGCGAGTCGGCTTTAACTGGTTGACACCGTGGTTGCGAGGCTTGCCATACGTAGCTCCCTTGGGCACCTGGCGTTTGCGGCAACCACGGCGGATGCGGGTGCGATAGATGACAAACCCTGCATATAAAATAAGTAGTAAATCAGCAGTTAGTCTTTGCGTGTATACAATATTATTCATATTGGAAAACTGAAGCATCAGTTGGTAGTGCATGAATCAAATAATCCTCACGATTTCTCAGTAAGGTGGTGATACTTATCATCATTGAAAGACATATATATATATAAACCACACCAAAACAGTATAGCAACCACGTGGCCGAGGCAAGAACCGAGCACTTCGAAATACTCATCTGTGACCTGTAATCCAAGCGAGCGTTTAAAATCAAATACTAGGAGCTTCAACCTCCTATCGAACCACTTTAAATATTTTATAGTTAAACTTCTACTAAAACTTAATAACACTAAGTGATGACTTGTTAGCACACCTTGTTTAGCTTTGTACCCAAGACGACGAGCTTTATCAGGTCGGGTGGGCCTGGGCGCACGATGAACACGGTTCAACTGCCTAAAGTACCAACACCTAAGACGCAACAAGAAGCGCATAACTTCGCTTTGCTTCTTGCGCCATATCTCTTGCATATACTTGTAAGCTCCCATTTCGTCAATCAAACCCTGCCACACACACGGAGCAAAAGAATTGATGTTGACTCAGGAAGGCTCGTCGTCTGCTTCGGAGCGCCATACGCCGAACAATCACACCATGAAAGTACCACAAATGTATTTTTGTACGTTTTTCGGTTCCTAACCATACTAGCGTTCTAAATGGTTTAGCAATAATTACACTTATTTCCAATATTTGTTATATAAACGAAACAGTTTCACCTGACTAATTGTTAATTCGCTCTATTAAAAATACAGCAGTCGTACGAATATAGCATCTGTGGTACGTTTACCAGTAAAAGTTCCTTAAATAAAAAAAAACTTTTTGCTCATAATTTCGTTGCGATACAACGCTTCAAGTCTCTACATAGTATTATCTTCGCTTAGTATGATTTTTTGGAAGTATTTTAAATTGATGTCGCTTGAGGGAGTCGAAAGCAAGAGCTGCTAGATTAGTGGCTTCTGTTTAATTGTTATGGGGCATTATTTGCTCATTCCCACGTCAACACAAGTTTTATAGTTTGATATTCTGGTTCCGCGCGTTATTTTACCGTTTACTGGGAGCACCGCATGTTTGGTACGTTTAAATATCCACACGAATTCTCATTAGGTAACAATTGATTACGTAGTACGCATTAACACTACAAATCGATTGCATGCACCAGCATAGTCATTCAAGCGAACCTGCCAATGAGCCATATGGGTTTCGGTCAACTTGCAGCAATATAGGACACGATGTTTTGTGTAGTATGTATCTTTACCAACACGAAGAGCCGCTCAGAGCCAATCTCTTTTTGACTGAGCGTGTTCCTTCGTCATTAATGTGTCCCAAATACGTGTGGAAGTACAAATAAGTTGAAATCAGCCCATAGTCAGCTGTTTATCTTGGTGCTTCATCTAGTCACATGATTGATGAAATGAAAGAGACTACAGGCAGTCGGTTGTTTCATATAGAACGCGAAAACGAATGCCTAAGAGCTACTGTTGTGCTACATTGAGTTCGCTTTCTGTGACTCGCGTGTGTTCTATTCGCACTAAGGGACCCCGCCAATTGATCGTCGGGCGCCTCGGGGTACCTCGCGAGTGTTGTGAAATGCCGGAGACCGGCCAGACGCCTGGTGGTAACGTAGCCCCAGCGAAATTGGAGCCGCAAACGTACTTGCGGGACCTTAAGCCCGGCCTAAAGAATCTGCATTGTGTGTTTATTGTGCTTGAAGTCGGCAAGGCGTCGACGACAAAAGATGGCAACGAGATTCGATCATGTAAGGTGGCTGACAAGACGGGCAGTATTAATTTGTCGGTGTGGAACGAGGCTGGACGCCTCTTGGAACCCGGAGACATCTGCCGTCTAACTAAAGGCTACGTGTCGTTGTTCAAAAATTCGCTTACATTGTACACTGGAAAGGGCGGCGACCTGCGAAAGATTGGTGACTTTTGCCTAGTATTTTCCGAAACGCCAAATTTATCTGAACCAAACCCAGAATTCCTTCAATATATGGCTAACAAACTTAATCCGGAGTCACGTTCGAGTCCGCCCAACGGCGCGCCTCGACCGACGCAGGGACAACGGCCGCCGTTTCAAAATTCCAGGCAACAAAAACTACCTCCGCCGCCAAATGCCAGCTCCCAGCCGGCGGGACCCGGTGGAGTACCTACAAGAAATACGCGACCAAACTGGCAGCTAATGTAGAAGTAGTTGGAGTAGGCATATCGAAGTAGAGATTTAGAGATCCAATTGTTATTATTACATTTATTATTAGTACTACGGTTACTACTAAACTGACAATGACAAACAGCGCGAAGAAGAAAAGAGACGAGATATTTCAAAAACTCAGTGACATGGACTGGGATGGCAGAAGCACCTTTTCGGCCAAAAAAAGTTCTCTGAGGATACTCATTTGTCCGCGATGAATCGACTCGTAACAACCGAATTTCTACCGGATTGAATTTTCTTTTTTATTTGAAATCACTTCTTTCCACAAAGCTGTTTGCCTTTATTTAGCTGGGTACTCTCTACGGCGCGGGGATCAATTAACGGAGTGTTGGGGACAACGTCCACCTATTTCTAGCAGTGTAATAAAGAACAGCGCAGTCGTACGCATGCGGTGATGCTATGTAAAGAACGCACATTTTCGAACAACATACGATAACGTGTAGCGCACTGGAAACATGTTTCTTCAGACTCTGATTGACCCGCATGCGAAGTTGTGAAATCCAACAAAGATATTGTTTGTACAGTAGTAAATTAGAAACGTATAATAAACATTCCCGGGTTCATAGATACCTACACGTAGACAAAGCCGTCTATACGCACACTAAAGACAAAACTAAGTAAATCAATAGACCTACTATAATACAACCTATCAAACCGTAAAGCTCTCATAAGTTTCGACGTTTCGTAGTACTGTATATGGGCATATCTGAAACTGTGTCATTCTGTTGAGCGCTTCCTGCGGGATAACTTGCGTAAGAGAGGATCGCAAACAGACAAATAAATAGAGGAAGATACTTGCGGAAGGATGTTTGTTTACGCCGACGGACTTTTTAGTTGTTTGCGTATATGCGGTCAGGAACGAAGTTACGTGGCCAGTATAATCAATAGAGAGACGGTTCGGGGTTGTTCCCTCAGACGGGAGAAAGATTCAAATGTTGTATTCAGTGTTATGTACATAGGATTAAATTAGATTGCGTATTGTAAATTTAATAAACCTATGGAAATAAAAAATAATGACAATAAAAGACAAGTCTGTGATCTACGTAGTTTACTCGCCTTCAATTTTAGACGTATCGTAAAATCTATAGAGGTAGATACTAAAGGATACTTTTGACTACAAGAGGAAAAGCTAAATCAATAACTTCGGAGGATTCGTTAAGTGGAACTGTTGCTGTTTTGTGTATACATATGGGCTGGAACGTGTATTGGCCGATCGGTGTTAGAAATGACTTTGTTTAGTACGTACGTTTTGACACAAAACCTAAATTTCTATTAACCTACGAAATTTCCGCAAATTTAGAGGATAATTTATTTAATAAATAATTTAATGTTAGCTCAGTATGAGATTCTATGGTTGTTCATGCACGATATATGACGAATGCTGGGCACCGACTAGAATAGGTTGCTTGTGTTATTTGAGATCTATTATTATCGGGTGAAGTTCAACAGTTAAATATTTGAAAAAAAAAACATTGATTCGCATTTTTTAAGGGCGACGTCAAGATAAAGACATCGCCTGTTGTCATTCTAACATGAAATAGTCTGAAATTTTTGTGACAGTGGCTGACCCGTACTTTAGCGAATAATATAGCAAAACTTACGTAAGCCAGGAAGTATTTTGCTTATGCAAGTATTTCATGTGCTATATTCAAATCGTCATCATCTATTTGTTATGAAGTTGAATCTCCCCTGCCAGCCTAACCAAAGTAGAATCGAGATAAAGTCACTGCGACCCTTAACAAACAACGGGGGTATATGAAAAACTTACATAGACTTATTCGGCCAATACGTATCTACAGCACTAATCAATAGCTCTTATACAGTAAGATAATATATGTATATATATAAGAAAAACATACTAGACATACAGTATCATAAACATTCTTTATCTACTGTATAAATGGATATTTAGTTAATATAATACTCTAAGAATTGTCATATTTTTTGTATTGCTATTTGTCTTTTAAACTTTTTATGGTGCTGATATAAATATAGTCTCGATGATTTTAACTACGAGGTAATTTCACGCATTGCCGAGGAAGATTTCAAACGATGTTCAAACGTCGGCGGGCGTCGTGCCCGCTTCGAAATCTATTCCGAGTGGTTTCGAATTTAGCTTGTTGTTGCTGAAGAACTATGTTGATATCGGTCTTGGAGACGTTTTGTTTCGATTGCCGCTACTTCTGGCAATTGTGTGTACAAATGGTAACGCTAATGGGTCGAAGTAATAGCAGATTCAGTGTCAGCCGAGGAGTCCGATGTTTTGCTGTCGGTTCTTCTAGCAGAAAATATAACACGACAAAATATGTTGTAATGAAAGACTACTAGAAAACAGTGACACTCTTTTTGTTTACGCAAATGCCGAATTCTGAATTCGGAAACTGGTGAGATAACGGTTTCCTTAAGTAAACCGCCAGCAGAAGCGACTGGCAACGGATTATCGTCCTGCTTTTTTGCTCGCCTGCCCCATGAAGGTAAGTTCTTTTTTTACTATTTTTCCAATGAGCGAATTGTATTTCTCACCTGTGTTGTTTTTCGAACTATGTGTGTTACCGTTGTCAGGGGAGGCGGCTGTAGCGGGTGTTAAATGTACATACGCTCGATATTAGACGTTTTCTTTTCGAACCAAATGGTATTTTGAACCATAAGTTGCTATGTGATATGCGTTTCTTTATGTATTTATACTATCTGAAATTATTGGAGAAATTTATTTCTATCAAATATTCTTTCAGTGTAAGCTCTATTCAGATAGTGGTAATCTTTTTACGAAATGTGTTTTTAACTGTTTAAGAAAACAAGTAGGAGGCTTTCAATTTCTATATTTTAGTTGGTCCTGTGCACTTTAATGATAAATTTCTATAGTAAAAGTAAGCAAGATGACGAAATTTGTGAAAGAGACTCTATATATATATCGCCCGAAAACTAGCTGCAATTACAGAACCGTTGTTGTCCTCAGGTGATTAACTTAAGAAACTAGAACAGTACACATCTTGGATAGAGTGCATTAGTTAAGGAAATTTTAGATGCTAATTTACGTACATTATAATTTTACTTGGGCACTGTAATAATAAATACATGGCATTTTGACAGTTTGCGATCTAAAATATACTTTTCACCCACATAACACCTTCGTTAAATTAAAATAAATCAGTTGTACATGTTCAGTTTCCTTTGAATTGCCTCTAGAATTTGTCAGATTTAGTAACGCACAAATTTTTAGTTATGTTAACGGTTTATGTTGGCTCAATTCACGTGAAAGCTGCATTAACAGAGTACGTACAAGTATGTAGAATAGCTGATAATCCATTCATTTGTGCAGTATATTGTGTGTAGCATTTCATGTAATTAGATCACTAAACTGGCCGAATTTTTTAAGATTAAGAAGTATTGAATTTTACTGTGTATTATGTTTCTCCGAAGGGGCGTCTCGTTTGTGGGTTGTCAGACTGCTATGACATACCAAATCGCTGAAGTAGAGCGAAATTTTGAACATTTTTTCACCGGAGTTATATAATTTATAATAATATCATTTATAATAATTTGTACGCTTATTTGTCAGTAATTAATTCCTTCATATTTGTGCGTTTTCTATACTGTGTCCGTGAGTTACAGTTTTAAAAAGGAAGAAAAGTTTCAGAGTTACTGACCTAAATATTGCATTATTTTTGAATAGCTTCATTTGCTTGGTATTTTTAGCGTCATAGTAAGAGCTATAATGTCCTATTTTCAGGGAAAGGCGATGGGGAACGAACAGTCGGGCCGTCCTAGCGGGCCCTATTACAGGTTGGCGCTCATGACCGAGGCCATATTGCCTCGGACGGACAATTACATACTCAACCAGATCGGACAGTGGGCAGCTCAGCAAACGCGGACGCCCATTCCTCGTGTCATCGAAACGACCGAGTGTATTGACACGACCAACGGTAATGGCAGCGATGATGGTATTCAAACCATCGGTGATAATCCGCCGTTAGAGAAGCCCTTATACCGACATCTTGGATCCTTCGGCTTAAAAACTGCTGGTTATGCTACGGATGTAGCTATGCCTTCGCCGAAATTAATGGAAGGTTATGACGCGAAAGCTCCAAGAACTAAGAGAGCGACGCCGGCGTCGTCCTCAAGAGATCGGTCACGATTTGCGTCGTACCACAAACCGCCGCATATACCTAATGTTGACGGTAAAAGCTACCTCGAATTTTTCAGACGCGATTTGCCGAATATCTATAGGAAGCAAGCGGTAAGCCGACAGATTAGCAACTTGTTGTTCCTTAATTATTCTCGCTGGAGAAGTTATAATCGTAAATCAATATTTAAGTGGTAGACTATGTTATGACAGAGTTTGTCAGTTTATCTATTGTAAGAAACTGTATTCTGAAACAAGCAAGGCTAGATGCAAATTAAATTTCACGAGACTAACCAACGATGGGTATTTTCTTTGGTTTCTAGGTCAATTTCAAACGGAAAACAGATAGGAGAGAGAACGGAGTAAATACATATAAATCATCATTAACGTTCATGCCCATATCAGATTTGCTTAGTCTCGGGGAAAAGAAATCACAAAGTACTCAAACCGAACTGACTCCAGTTGCAGTTAGTACCGATGCCATTGATAAAAGCGAACCCATTCGACAGTCGCCAAGGAAAGTGTTAGGAGACGGTTTGTGTCTTCAGCTGTTAAAAAAGGAGCTCGATCAGTTTGAGGAGGATCGGTTCCGTGAGACAGCGGCAAATCAACGGCTTGTTGCCAAATTGGCAGAAAATCGACGAAACGTGCAAGGTCAACTAGCCCAGCCAATCATATTAGTGCTATCGCCTCAGACGCCACCTTTAACAAATGAGATGAGGAATTGCATTGACAAAGCTTTACGGATAGCTGATCACAGTCGATTAGTTGTCGAAGAGTTTAAATTACGAATCACGCGGGGCGATTTACATAAACTTGAGGGTTTGAACTGGTTAAATGATTCGATTATTAATTTCTATTTTGCAATGTTAGCTGACAGAAGCGAGAAAGATGAAAAGTTACCTAAGGTATATAGCTTTAGTACATTTTTCTACGAGAGGCTACGTACCGAAGGCTATAAAGGCGTCCAGCGGTGGACGAAACGAGTGGACGTGTTTTCTAAGGATATTCTACTTGTACCGGTCCATCTTGGCATGCACTGGTGCCTAGCTGTTATCGACTTTAGGCTGAGCTCCATTGAGTACTATGATTCAATGGGTGGTGATAATGATGAGTGTCTGAAGTCTTTGTTCATGTGGGTTCAGGAAGAGTCCCGTGACAAAAAGAAAATTGAACTCAACGTAGACGGGTGGAGGACCTTGAACCGTAAGGATATTCCGCAACAGCAAAACGGGTCTGATTGTGGAATGTTTGCTTGCCGGTTTGCTGAATACGTGACGAGGGCCGCGAAGATCAATTTTACGCAGAAAGACATGGCATATTTTAGGCAGCGCACGATGTTTGAAATACTCGAGAAACGACTTCTATAGTGAACCAGTGCTACCGCACACGAGCGGACAGGCATAAAGAGTCACAAAAGTGTTGTTTCTCGATACTGAATTGTCCCCTACAGAATATAAAACGTTTTCTTGTTGAATTTGCGAGTTTCGGTCCACAGTATGTATACGTAAGTGGGTAACCAAGCTTGTGACTAGTTCCGTGAAAATGTAAACTTGAAATACATGAAACAAATTATTTTTTTCAACTCTTTGCCCTTCAGCTGACCGACGTAAGAAATTCTAGTAAAAGTATTAACGAACTTAATCTATTTTTTACTACCAATGTATTACATGGCAATAGATCTTGGTCGAAGTTTTAAAAAGCAAATCATTCGATGAACCCGGTGTTATGGTTAACGGCGGCAGGTCGAAACACAAGGCGAAGACACCGCACACTTCTTTATAATCGGCTTACATTGCAGTCGCATCACGAAAATAGTTAATTTAAAATAAAGGTATATAGTTGCGGTAAACCTCTTGCAGATTACAAGCAGTATACTGTATGCAAAGTCATTCTCTTACAATTTCACTATTTTTACCCATTTTCCTAATTATATCAAATGATTATTCTGTATGATAGACCCTCCGTTCTTATTTTGTCATGCACGAAAAAGACGTTAGTCATGTCTATTCGCAATCAAAGGTTTAGCGGTATGTCAACGCAAAGCGCTATAGTTGTGAAACCACACATAATTCCTATTATTTATGCTAATTGGTTCAGTACGAATTTGTTTCGTTACTCGGCTCCTACAACAATTATGCATGATTGATGTTATAGCCTATTAAGATCGTGATTTTTATGTTGCTGAGAAGCTTGTGAAAAAATAGATCGAACTGTTTGCCGCAGGTCATGTTTTATACAGTTTTCCAATAAGCTGCAGCATAATGTAACTTATTAACTTGAATGACCTCCCAAAATCATAATAATAATTTTATATTGATGAAATACATGAAGTGTACTGTGTACATATGCAAAACACAGAAATACACGTGCATACACTACGAAAATTAATTTTCAAGGTTAATAATACAGATCCACCATAAAAATATGATGTAGTGATTCGCATGTGACCTTCCATTTCTGCGTCTACGTCTTCCATTTCTATGGATGTCTGCGTATGTGTTGGGTATTTTCTAGCGAAAAAGCAAACCTATTACAATGTTAAGCAAGTGTCAAGCGGTGAAACCTTAAAGAAGAGTAAGAGATTATTTACTATACAAAAAACGTGGGCCTTAATAACTTGAATTCACGTTTATTCAAAAAGGCCATCTGCTTTATGCACTTATCTTGTGCAAGGCAGTTTCACGTTTAGAAATTAAACAAATACGATACCTTGTACATTAATATAATCCAGTCGTCCCTGCTGCAGTGCTGTAGGTCTATATCAGGGTCGTCTATTAGTGTGCTGATGTTTTATAAGTCACATTCTGTAAAATCGAGTCAGCGATCCTGGGCTAAGAAAAACGAATGTTCTTTCTGCACTTTACAGCTGCTTTAATGTTGTTTCCACTTGAATCTAATAATGTAAAATACGCCTGTACTATACATGTTCATATTTAAGCTATTTGAAATGGCGTACTAATGAACCTTTGTGGTGTATTGTTGCACAATCTAGATGTCCCATAGTCTCAATAATTATAGGTCGTGTAGTTCTCGAACAGTTTATTCGATTTGTAAATATACCTGTATGTACGAATTTCTAAATGAATGATGGTAGATCTGTAGGTAGGACTGTCACGTATGTGGTCATGAACGGCCGTCATGACACGGTACGAGAGCGCCTGAGAAAAAGAACAACGCTGCGACCGTGCGTGTGATAACAAGCGAATATCAATATTTATTTCTGTGTGCATTGAATGGTGTGTTGTATGTTACGTTAAGCAAGCAGACGCATTCGGATATTCGAACGCAAAGGAAGATTACACTTTCTGAATCTACAAGTCATGGTGGATGTATCTGTTTGCTTTCAAAATAAATCGAATTTAAATTCACATAGATATATCTAAAAATATACATATGGTGAAAAATATAGATATAAGTGAATGGTCGTATGGTAAGCTTTGGCGTTCTGTTTGTATATACTTGCTTTTGTCCTCAGTCCCTTGCCACGGGTTGAATGCAGTTATACATGTAAAAGTCCTTGACGCCTTCTATCAGTCTGTATGATTAGTACTGAAAAATAAACACAGAATTTAATCGAAATAAGGCCCCGAGAGAACATTTCAGGCAAAAAAGTGCATTTTTCGATACCAGCTTTACTTCGCATTTCTCCAAGATCAGGCAATGTCTGATATAACTTCGACGATCGATAGTTTCTAAAGCCTACTAAGAATACAGTACTCAAACTACTCGTGAGTGGGCTAAAAATATGAATTAGGCGATAATGGTAACACACCTAAAAACAATAAGTGTAAACGAATTATCTACTTTGCAACATCTCCCCAGAGACCATGCATCGTGAAGAACGATGTTTTTACAGAATCGTCACAGCCATTGAACCTTTTTGATGAAGTGAAAGTGCTACAGGACTTACCGTTTAACTCTATAAATAATTATAGAAAGCTATAGAAATTATGTTGATGATGTTGTCATCTATTATGATAGAAAAAATTGTAAAAAAATAAAGATACACAAACCATTCAGTCGTAGATTTTGCGTTGTATTGCAATCTACCAAGTTTTAGACCAAGCAGAAAAATATGATTTGTCTTTTCTTCTTTACGCCTCTTTAATTCTTTCAATTTAAAAACTGCCTTCTTTTTATAGAACATGCGTTTTAGTGAAAAAGCTTAAAATAACTGAAATAGAATCCAGAGTGCTTTTACTAAACGGATATTTTTGAAGAACTGTTAATATGGGTTGTTGCATGTGGGGTGCTCAAGTGTTGTGATCCAAAAACAAGCTTGAACAGAACCCACAAAACGACCAAATATGAGCATGTCGATATATTTTTATTGTAATTACGCCATCATTTAGTCGTCAGTAACTTAAGCTGTGTGTTACAATACGGAAATCTGCTCCTAAAAGGCTCTCCCTTGTACCTTTACTACAGAAAAATGTATTCGTTTGCCGCATGGGACAGTGGACTGAATTTTAAGTTGATAGTTAAGCCTAGTCTATACGTATGAGCTTGTTACGGGCTAACTGAATGGTACTAATACCCATCAATTAGTACTCGTAATAAATAGAAATATTATTGGGGATGCTCATGAAGTCATAATGGTCTATTGACATTTAATCAGCAGCTTTTTACTGGGCTGAAACCTCTTACCGCCAGCACCCTTGCTAAGCACATTTTACCTATAGAGGGATGAGAAGGTTGCTCACTGTTCTCTATTAGGTATTACGAATATATATTTAAACACTCGCTTTTAAAATTTAATTTTTTGTCCCGAAACATGCATTAAGAGTCACAGTGGTCATAAAAATTATAATGCTGATAAAGTGTAATGCTGTCTTGAAAACATATAGTTTCAGTATTTGTGGATGACCAAACTTTTTTAATCGTTGAAATTTATTTGGAGAGTATGCCAGTATGTACGGGTACTTTTTAAGCCACTGGGATCACACATCAACTAAAACGACCTGCAAAATCGAAAAAAACAATCTAAAAGATATTTGATCATTTTCTTTAAACAAACTTTTGCGAAACCGTTTATATACCAACTGGATATCGAGCCGCAAAAATAACAAGTGGTTGCGTGATTTATCAACCGTTAGAACAGACAAAACACCGAGTCAGTAGCGCATATATTGTTAACGAATTGTAGCATCTCTTCAAACATCGGCGTACTGTGATTTTTTTAAAGGAACGTTTCAGAGAATAGGGTAAGGCAACCAGCCTTACTCAGTTGGCGATATTCTCTTTAGATTTCTGTCCTACACACTCTAGGGACAATGCCAATTCAGGATACGCTCGATGCAATTATGCAAATAAGTATAGAGTCACGCTTTTTCTTGAAGCCGCTCTTCTCACGGCCGCCTTCCTCTTGAATTGGTACACTGGGCTTTCATCACATGCTTCAGAATAATAAGCCTTTATTTTGAGTCTAAGTTCTGTTGTAACATATTCTGATAGCAGATTGTGCATTTGAGAGTCGGAGAATATTTCTACGTGCCTCGATAACTGCCCATGTCCAAATGGCTCACACTAACGAAAGGGTCGAATTATTTCTTTTTACTTGAAGATAACCTGAGTAAAAGTGAAATACTGAAAGTATTCTGCTAAACCTACGTCTTGAGACAGTTGGTTGCTTCGTGTCTCTTCCCGTTGTTGTTTTGTTGTGTACGCCATTTGTCTATTCTTTAAATTATATTACTTCAGGTGATTACTCGCTGAGTCAAATCAGTATAGCATTTCCGAATACTCACTTCGGTGATTCGAGGGCCAGTTTTGTTTTCAACAACGTATTTTGGTTGCCTTTTTTTTCAGTGATGCTTAAGGCTGTACCTCGCTTAGCGTTGAGCTCCGTCGTGACTTATCCTTTCTGTCGTCCTTTGCCGTACCTCACGTACTTTCGAGCAATGAGTACCACAGCTGAAAATCGACTGGGCCGAATCGCTGTCTGCCAAGTTACGTCATCATGTAAAAAGGACGAGAACTTTAATAAATTCTCTGAGCTTATTGTTCAAGCGAAAAACAATGGTGCTAAGGTATGTGCTTATCGATGTTGAAAAACTACTTGAAAGAACGAAAGGCGGATTATTCTTTATACATGTTGTAATCTTTGAATAAGTAAGAAATTTAGTAACATGAACTACCAAATTACTTGTTTATTTAATAGCATTTACTAACAGTTATTATTGGAACATACTTAATTCATTTAAAACGCTCACTCTGAACGCGACGTTACCATTTACTACGCGCATTAGATTACGTTATCAATGTATTTATCTGGTGATATAATGTTTCAGATGGTGTTCTTTCCGGAGTGTACAGACTTTGTGGGTGAGAATCGGGATCAGGCTTTTGAGCTGGCAGAGCCACTTAACGGACCCTTGATGAAATCGTATTGCAAACTCGCTTTTGATAACAATATTTGGATCTCGCTGGGTTCCTTTCACGTTCGACCCGAACGTTTAGCTGAGGAGGACCTAAAGAAGATTAGCAACACCCACATCGTAATTGACTCCGAAGGAAAAGTAGCAGCTACCTATGATAAGGTGCACCTATTCGATGTCGATATTCCAACATTCCGAATCAAAGAATCGCAATTTACAGTTAGGGGTGGTCAGATAACGGCACCTGTAGAAACTCCGATTGGTCGAGTGGGTTTGGCCATTTGTTACGATATGCGATTTGCCGAACTCGCCCTTAGTCTGGCAAAATCTGGAGCTCAAATTCTCACCTACCCATCAGCGTTTACGGTCAGCACAGGCTACGCTCACTGGGAAGCTCTTTTAAGAGCGCGCGCTATAGAGACACAGTGCTATGTAGTCGCTGCAGCCCAAATTGGCCAACACAGTCCGAAGAGATCATCGTATGGGCACTCAATGGTACGTGTATTTACTAGCTTAATATCTGCATAATGTGTTTTGTTATATTTTAATTCAGGTGTTTATATTTACGTCGCGTTTCGACCAACATTCTTTATGGTAGCATTTACGATAAAAGGTAATTCGTGTTCTGTCTTCTTGTTGGTTTTTTAAACTTGTAGAACTTAGGAAGCGATCGGAATATATAATAAGTATCGAGGGGCTTTATACAATGGATTATCTCAATTATGTCCAAATAAAGAATGACGCATGCACTATAAGAAATGACTGCAAATAATTAAAGATCCAATATTCATTTTTGCAATCGCAAGAATTTTGCGCATGCAGGAATAATAGCTAAATCATGCGTATTTATCAGATGTATAAAGCAACACGGCTGTAATAAATAATGATATCATGCATTGATTCCTATAAAAATTTGAAAGAATCAGAATTCCCTTTAGCAGTACAAATTGCGCAACTATTGGGTTGTCGGAAAAGTATTAGTTGTTCTTAAGCCAAAATTAAGGCAAACATTTTATTATATTTTGATATATTATTACAAAACTAAATATGTACAACTTTGATCGATAATTTCTTGTCATTCTTCTGGTATTGCCACAACTTCATCGCTGTAAAACTTCTGTGGTTTCTGAATGAACAATTTTCATACGCGATTTTTTGTATCCCTTTGTTAAAACTAAATTAACACGGAGGCCAAAACAGTTAATATTCTGATACAAGATCGGGGTCATATGGTGCATGCATGAAAATTTCATATTGAAGTCCTTTTAGTCTTCAATGAATTTTCGCATCGCTTCGCAGGCCATCGAAGAAAAAGCTTGACCACTAAGCATTGGTCTTCGAAATGTTTTTTTTTTTAAATCTATCTCTCTTACAATCACTCACAAGGTTTTCACTCACAAGTTTGTAAAAGACTAGAGCATTCACCAGCTAAATTTCCTCTGCTAATGTCATGTAGTTTAGAAATTATTAAATTTTAAGGTCCGCCCTATTTACTTATGACAACTTAATATTTATGTAAAAACAATGGTGCAGGCTTATTTCAAACCCTAAGACTAACCTGGAATTTCACTGGGAAGGTTTAAAAGAATCAATTTTCTTTTTTAAAGGTAGTCGATCCATGGGGGGGAGTAATCGCTCAGGCGTCAGATAAGACGAATCAGGTGATATACGCTGACATAGACTTGGGATATCTCGAAACGGTTCGCCAGCGAATGCCCGTATTCTGCCACCGTAGGCCTGACCTCTACGGAGAGCCTGCTCCTGTATACAGCAACAGCGGTGCGTTTTGTTTATTCTGTGTAAGATGGTCTGCTTGCCTTTTAATTATGTGTGTCGTCCTGATTGTATGAAATCTGACCATGGCTGTCGAGTCCTTTACCTGTTTATGCATTGCAATAATATGTTCGAACATAAAGGCTTTGTAGGAAAATATAAGTAGCTTATTTTTTTGACTATTGAACGTCCAGATACACAGCGTTAAGTCCATTTGTAACTTGAAGTAACGCGCTCAGCCTTCGCAGTCAGAGGTCTAAATATTTGACGCACTCCGATGAACTCATCCAATTTTTCTATTAGTAATGGTTATCTATCTCTGCATTTACACGAAGTGCAACACAAGAGGCTAATGCCTAGTCGGATTTATTAATTTCTAAGCATTTTTCCGTCTATTTTTCTAAATTTAATTCTGAATGTCAATTATTCTAAGGAAATTTATTAATAGTAAAGTTAATCATTTCTGTTTTTCTTCGTTGTTTCCTGCCGTTCAGGTATCGATTCCCAGGAGACCTACCAGTTCGGCCAAGTGCAGCTATGTAAATCTCAGCTCTTTCACAAAACTGCGTTATCGATGGCGTTTGTCAACAAAATGCCCGTTCTTAACGGACGTATCCTTTTTGAAAGTCTTGCGAACACACTGCAACATACTGTAGCTTTGTGTTGAGTGCATTTAACTTTACACTAAGGCTTTTTACGATCAATCCTGACGATGACAACAACATGTTATTTTTTATGTGTACACAATCGATTCGTTCTGTTACTACATGGACTTCAAGCGTTTATTTGGGCGAATTTGGTAAATCACTGAGTCGTACACTGTTAAAATCTTATGAACAAAAATTAAACCAACGGGTAGAGTGACCATCATTAGCTACACGTTGGACCGGACAAGAATTTTTGAGGACAATAACTAGATAAATCAGGTTATATCTCTCATAGCGAAACCGCTTTAGAAGTGGTTTGTTTAGAATCAGTCGGGATGCTTAGATCACTGGTTCTCGCAAATTTTAGGTTATATTTTGAAATTGAGATCAAAATTTGATACAAAACAGACGCAAAAGTGTAGATTAGAGACTAATTAGATCTTCAAGAGCTGTAATAAGGCATCCCCTGGGTACGGAACACAGTAGTGTAGTAGACTTTATTTACTACGTTAATAAGACTTGTTAAATTATCCATGAAAGTGGTTAAATTATCTGTGAAAGTGTGTTACGGGTAGTACCTATCCGGGTAATCCATGAACTGAACGAGCAACTCTTACTCGTTTCAGATAGTAAATACATGTTACAGATAAAATTGTACGTTCTGGAGAGCTTTTGCCTGGCGCGGATATTTGTTCCGCTATAGGCAACTATACCCAGAACGAATAGACGAATGTTCGGGATCCCATATCGCGACTGGTTTGTGTCACTTCCTGCAGTGCAATCCGAGTGGTGATTTTGGGTACCAAAACAAGTTCACAATGAATTTCTAGATTAGTTTTCCAAAAACTCAAAGCAATTAATCTCAATATATATACTAGATCTTTCTCGTAGTTGTTTTCTTAAACAAGGCGGATTGTAGTGATTTTCCTTAACTTGCACATCCGTTGCTTCTTGACAATGGGCGCTTTGGGGGGCCACAGATGTTTTGGTTACTCCTCTGCGTCCCGCTCTTCGACTCAAAGATTTGACATCTGTAGAACGGATGGACCTCTTCGAGCTAGTGAAACGAGTACAGGCAGTCGTCGAACAAGAGTATCAAGCGGATTCCACCACCATTAATATACAGGTATCACTAGCGACTTTGTCAGCAATTTGAGTAACAAACAGGTTCCTACCTACACGCACATTGTACAGATACAGGAATTTGCTCAAACTGCATTGTCAACGGAACAGTATTGTTCACCATTATCTAAATCAAGCCCCGACGTAAGTGATTATAAATGTTTTCGGTGTTTGGGAGTTATCCTTAGTAGCTTTTTATAATTCTCTTGAAAATATCTCGGTAAGCACGCAATTACGCCCTGAACGCGATCGTCCTTGATGTTTGCGATGATTGCACTCAGACGTCTTAGTGGCACCCTTGAGGGCAAGTGCTATCCGACTGGCAGATATCACTCCCGAGGAAGCGAGAGACATGTTCTGGCTCATCAGTGAAGTTCAGAAAGCTGTCGAGGAGGAGTTTAAGGCAGAAGACTCGACTATTTCAATACAGGTACTCTCATATACATATTAAAAGACTACATCATCATTTCTGCGGGCTTCACTTCCTTGCTTTTTCGCAGAAGTCATCGGACGTCGACTGCTTGATTGCTTAGTTTTATTTATAGGACATAAGATTACAGAACTACCAATTTACCGTACTACCAATGCTTAATTTCTGCATTAAACTTGTTCAGGTTCGCAATGTTTTTATAAAGATAAAAAAAAAACAGGAATGGACACAGGAACTGCTTACTTAAAATGCATATAACAGAATTATGAACTGTAAGTAAGTCTCAAGACTGCTCTTAGTGGTAGCTTAACCAGTAATTAATTAGTCACTATTGGCAAAGCAACGTTAAAGGAAAACGTCTACATTGTTGCCACACAATCCTCTGCCAACGTATCACGTAAATTATTAAGGGAATTTTTGATGTATGCAGATTGGCCTTTTTGCAAAATGTTGTGGGAAAATCATTGGATAACAATTCTGGAAACAAATCTATCCTAAACATTATTAAAGAATTAAAATTATTCTTGAAGACCAAAGGTCGCTAATTAAATAATTTCATTAATCGTAATCTTCAAAAAAGTGTCCTTCAGCTGGGCTTATTCTGCGTAGAAGTCTTTCATGAACCCTAACAAAGACGCATCAGTGACATCTGCTCTAAGGCTTTATAAATTACTGGTTTTATGATGAGCAAAGGCAGTACACATTGTTCTATAGGAGCGGCCACTTGCAAGGCCGCGATTATCACTGATTTGCCAATTCATCCTAAGTGCTTAGGAAGATTCCGCAATCGTCGTGAAGGTCTCATGCCAGGAAACGACGTACGAGTAATCATTAAAGTGTAGAGCATTTGGCGTAGTTGGGCGAACTGGGCTCTAGAGGCCGCCACAGACAACAGTTTTTCAAACTGAGAATAATACCAGTGACGTTCGCAAGTTATTATTGCTGTATTTATTCACACCTTCTTCAAATCCTGCAAACTACATGCTAGAGTTTTCCCTATGCCCTGTGTATCATTATTATAATGTGGCATTTATGGTCGATAGCAGCTATAGTGACTTGGGTCAATTTAGTATATATATTAAAACAATATGTTAACTCTGTGAAAATATAACTATGATACAAAACGGAAACTAGTAATTAATTAAATTGTGACACTAAGTAAAAGCAGCGTCTATTAGATAGAGTGGTCAGAAGTACATCAGAAAGAGCTACATCTATTACAAAGTTATAATAGTTTCTATATATATATATATTTTTTTTACCAAATAATGCACAGAACGTTATTGAGCCGACAGGCGTTCTCAAGACTATCGCAGAAGAGCTACTATTACTGGGAATCCGCTTTGTTTCTCTTATAGGACGGCACTCTGGCAGGACGAAGCATAGACCACTTGCATGTGCATATCCTTCCTCGTCATATAGGCGATTTCAAAAATGACAATGACATTTATACAGAGGTAGGTTCATGACGCCGGGTTCCAACGAGCCGTATTACAGGTTCGGTAGTCTACCGCAATAGCTTTCAAATGTTATATTTCTCAAATGGTATAAGAAAACGAATGTCAGGCATAAAAAAATTGCTTAATTGTTAAGGAGGAATTGATAGGGAAGAGCGAAGCTGAGCTGTGGCCACGTTGTATTGGCTCCCTGTGTTTCGCAAATGTGTCGTAGTACGTAAAGAGACTTCAGTGTAAGGCTATCAGTTAGAGAATAATCGTTTGTAGATTAGGTAAAGGTCGGTTTCTAGTTGTTCAAAAAGTGTCGTAAACTTCTTTTAGGTTTGCGTCGTGTACTACCGTAAATTTACCTTTTGCTTTCCTTTGGCATAAACAAATACAATGAATTACTGTAGCATATGTAAGCTAAATTTCACCTAAGTTGCTATCTACACTCACTGATTTCTAATAATTTTTGAAGAACTAACGATAATGTTGATTTCACTATTTTTATCCAAAAGCGGTTGTTGTCGTTCTTCTTTTCTGCATACTAGGATAAAATTAATAGAACAAGTGCACTATATCATCTTGTATGTTTACCTGAGATAAAATTTGTCCGAACCTATGCACTTTTACCATCACGGATATGATAGGTGTACGTATTCTTTCAATATATATTGTCGTCTGTCTCTCTTAACACACAGCTTCAAGACCCCGTGCCGAAGAAACGCCCAAGAAGCCAAGAGGAAATGGCAGCGGAAGCTTTAAAGTTGAGGAGGTACTTTCAGGCTTAATTATCACCAACAGCAAAAATGAAACTGACGTCGTTCTTCGTTCTTCCTGCATATAATCTTCATAGTTAAGCAGCTAGTGCAATTATATTTAGCACACTTACTTCTGGAACAAAAATATGAACTTCAATAATTTTGTTACGGACGCAAAGGGCGCTGTACTTTTATTCTCACACTGTGAATTACTTATAAGTCGATGCAAGTTGATTCTGATGTGACAAAATTGTAAATAATAAATATTATTTGTACACCTTCGCCCAGAATTATAGAGATCTCTTATGTAGGTCGCTATGCACGTTTCGAGTATATATATATATATATAAAGCCCTGAAGCTCCCAAACTGTAGCTAATAGATCAAAACAATTCAGTCTAAGTGAGTTCTTTTCTTGATCAGTATGAAAAAAATGAGGTTCTTTAAAATGCGACTTGTTTAGTGGAGCCATAGGGGCTTCTATATTGTCCTACGGCATCTTCACTGAGATCGATTTAATTCAACTGCATGAATTAACGATTGTGTCAGGAAGGTGTTCACAGAACCGTTTTAACACAGTTTTAAGACCTGTCGAGGTGAGCTCAGAAGCCAGGTCTTCTCCACAGCGTTAGGGAACAAGCGACAAGTTATGGAGTCTCTTTCTCAGACGGAGCAGATGCACTGCGAATAGAATGGACTTGATCTCAACTGATACAATAAAATAAACGTGGAGATTTGCCAAGAAATATTATTGCCAGATGTATTTTGGCCCAACAAAGCAACTGTTAAACAGGAATCAACTCAAAAAACTTTTGTCAGACAGGAGAGCACATCAAATGGAGCAGACGATCGCTGTCAGCGGCATTATTCTAAATGCCACAGTGGTACGATGATGTGTGAATCAATCGGTGGTAAAGTTCATTTTTAAAGTGAAGCGCCCCTGGACCCGGGTACAGAAAATCATTTACTTATGGATTGAAGCATTTTCTTTATTTAGATAATTTATAATTGGTCTCTGATTCTTAATTAGACTGCAATTGGTCCTAATTTTGAAACGTTCAAATTCGATCGTTTACTATTGAGGCCTTTCATTATCAAGGCCATCTTGTCGATAGCTTGGCTTCAACTCGGCTACGGTCGGTTTTTCTCGTCGAACTAGGTCACAAGTTCTACAGTGTAAATCGAGCTAGTTATGTACGAAATATTTAATTTTCAATGAAAGAACTTATTATACTTTGCGAAGTTTTGGGATATCGCGTGAGGATTCGAAGCAAGCATTTGCGAATGTACTTTTGATGCATGAACACACACATTGATGTAGCCAAAAAATGGGGCCCGGCTGCTAGATAGCTACTGGGTGCTAAAGTATACCGTAAAGCTTTTCTGTGAGCTCAATCGAATAAAGCGCATTCTCGAATGCTAAATAGAACATATGTTTTCTGCTAAGCATGCAGAAACCTATTGAACCCTTCAAGGGCTTGCAAGAAATGGGGAAACTCATCTTGAGCTATTGCCCATAGCCTCTCTTCTCTTCGACTACCTGACCAACAGTTACTGACCGACCAGGCTGCTGCCAACTGCGCGCGTAAGCTCAGCCTTTGCATCTTGTCCTCAGCTAAGGTCTGCCGTTTATACTCGGTGAAATATACGTACGGTGAGAAGGCATCCGCGGTCGGCTCATAGCTTACCTCCATAATAAATCAACTGCTTCCTTGTTCGTACAAACGCCGTGATGCATGAGGACGCGCTTAATGGTTTCCTAGAATCCATGGCTGGCCAATTTTTTCCGAAAGCTGAATATCATACAACACGTGACACGCGTAACTGTAGCCCGCGCTATTTTACGTTAGAGGCAAGATAACTATTGCAGTTGAATCGTGTCAGAAAAAAGACAAAAATACCATAGGCCTCACTCAGATATATTATCGCTTAATACCCCCACAATCTAATAGAGTAGACTAATATAGAGATATAGATGATAAGTTAGTATTTACCGTTATCGGTATGTTTGACACATTAACATCCTTTGCATACAAGGCTGATTGTCTTATGATAGATAGCTCGGTCGTATAAAACGTTGTATTCGATTTTCAAGTCGGAGCAATCTACTTTCTATAGATTGGCTTTTCTCGTTTCCATGATAGCTATCGTGGCTAATTCTATAGATAACAGATTTGTCCGCTAATCGTAGCAAAACATAATGGTATATGTTCGAACTCGGGCTTAGGAGGGCTTCATTTTGTGCTGGGAGCCAACTGTCCTATAAAATACTTAAATGTGTTCCCGGACCGAAGACATTCAGGTTGCTTTTTCTCCCCACTGGATTGTTGGCAGCACTAACAGTGGGCGTTTACGATTGACAGCGATTCCAGGTAGAGTCCTTGTGACAACTTATTTGCCTGCTAATCTTCGGGTCTAGGTTGTAGTCTACCTTGGAACCCAAGTAGTGACAGACTTTGTTTCGTGTTGGGAGCCAGCCGTCTGACGGAACACCTGACGGCAATATCGGCCGTAAAACATAGAGGCATGGTCTAGAGTAAATGTATATATATATTAGCTATTCAGCAATGCTACGCAACAGCTATACTTTGATATAATCGAAATTTAAATAGTGCGAAATTGAGGCCTACAATAGGAAAATATACATAGTATTCCAAAGTCAATTGTGACGTGCCTGAAGTACCCTACGAGAAACGCTAACACTCGTCGAGGCAATTACAAGAAAAAAATATTGCGGAGACTAGATTTTGAACACACCTGCAAGAAACAAAATCCTTCTCTAGAGAAGAACCTATTAAACATTATTTTAGCCAAAACATATATTGAAACCAAAGATTGCAATTTAATGAAAATCATATGACGATTGTAGCTAGAGCAAGAAAAAGCCCCATGGCCTTCACTAAGCTTTTCTTATAACTTCAGAGTATCTACTAGGCTAAACCAAACAAACGCAAAGTTTTAAGCACTTACTGACACATTTATAAAACATATCTGCCCTTAGTTTATTGTTATTAGTTTACTGTTTGTCAAAAGTGATGTCCATCCTGACAACAGCGGGTCCAGCTTTGCAGGAGATACATTGTGGTTTTTATTGAATAGGTTTATCTACTTTGCCATAGATCAACCATAAAGAGGGTACCTGCTTGCTGTAAAAGCAATGAATGGAACGGAAAAGCCATTCGCGCAGCTTTACGCGATACCTTAGAAAAACTGCAACGTCAGCGTCAAAATCGGCTGGACCATATCAAGAAAGAACTAAGTTACCGAGAGCCGATTCCTTCTAATAATCTTTTAAGTTTTAAAGTGGAAATTTTTGTTGGGATGGGCAGCTCATATCCTGGAAGTTAAACTAGTTTAGGATTTTCACCTCGGGATACTCTGCCCGCTTACGGTTGTATATGCGCATGCAACTCTAAAAAAACCTTATTGGAAGTGCACACGTGTGGATGATTGAATGAATATTGCAGTCCCTCAGAGATACAATTATAACCGAAGTAGTGTTATAGGAAACGGGTTTATTGGTCAGTCATATTCCAGGTGTAAAATGCAGCAGAGAACAATTACGATACCAAAAACTTGTTATTGATATTGATAGCAGCTTACTAGTGCCCAATAATGGCAAGAAAACGATGTTACTTTAAAAACTCAGTCTAAAATTTTGTTTGTTGAGAGGTAGTATTTATGTAATTTATAAATATCCATCTGCAGCACGGATGCCAGTAAATATTTATACTCTACAGGATCAGATTAGGATTCGTATAAATTCCATATGTACTCTAAGTACTAGCTAGAACTAACTAATCAACGAAATTGTACTAGTTAGTTACAACGATACTTACTTGTTATGATTCGCTATGTGATAACAAAAGTCTCTTAGTTTAAACACTGAATCTTTTTTGGAATTTCCTATAGCATAAGGACAGTGGGTTTAATGGTGTAAGTGTTTGGTTCTCACCACCTCCATGACTGAGGTCTGGCAGACTTTGTAATTAAGTTGGAGACTAACTAAACCAGTTCCATAAGGCTAGCTACTTATGCCAAAGTGAGATCCAATTCCACCTACTAGAATGTTGGTATTATCAAAGTTATCATGACTCTTTCAAAGTTGAAGAATATTTGCTTATCTAACAGGTTGCTGTATATTCTGCTGGACATGGGAGCGATTAAATAAGTTTTTAGAACATTGGTGCCTGTGCCACAATCGACCTCGTTCCTTCGTCTCGAGCACCAGTATATGGCTGATACGTTAAGAACCTTAGCGCAGACAGACTTACCGAAAAGAGACTAATACGTTTGTTAGATTTGGACCAGTCCAATATTTCTATCCCGTTCTTTAATGACAGTGCAGTGCAGTTAGCGAATCTCTGTGTATTTGGAAGAAACAAAAACATTCGTCTTGTCAATTGACAGTAGTAAGCTTTTCCTTTGTCAAGAGAGTTCGTAGCAACTCTTCATTGCGTCAGCAAGCGTCCAATAATTTCTAAGTCGACTATAATCGGGAGTCTGAATAACGTATTAGTATATAAGGGACTAAATCAACGCCGTAGCAGACATTGTCGTCCGACAGATGCGAATGCTTATCATTCAGCTGTAATGCTTTGAAAGTGGATTAATAAATGACCTTATCGACATATGAATCTCTTACATACAAACGTACACCTGTGAGGTATACGTTTTCTGCTTCGTAGGAGTAACTGCGAATATCTAATAAGTAACTTCAACAGGCAAACTTTCTCACAAGCCGATTGATTCGAATTTTTGAGTATTACTGTTCCATGTTTTGCATGCTCGATGATTCATCCGGTCTGTCAGGTACGTTCGGTTCCTCGCTTTATAATTCATTGCGCCATTTAACTGTTTTCGAAATTTATCACATATATGGCATAACGGATTAACTTGATTGTGCGCTGTGTACTTTTTCTTCCAGACAAAATACGTAGCGTACTGGGTGATGTTTTGAGAGATTTTCTTAAGCTTTAGGGCTAGTGACAGCGGGTCGAGATTCGACGCGTCAACAAACGCGTGCAGAGAGTCAAGAAATTGGCCTCTGCTTCCAGTCATAGTAACAGGTATTATAGGGTATTGAAGTGTACGGTAAAGCTTTTCAGTCACATAATCTGGACATATCGAATTTTCGAAAGCCAAATAGAACATGTACTTCTGGCTCAGCGTATTCATGCAGGAATCGCTTGCACTCATCGGACATATGCGGTTTCCACATGCCCCATATACGTCAACAGGAAAATATCTTTGGAGCTCCTGCACATAATTTTCTCTTCTGCTTTCGGTCCAACAATCACTGACTAACCAAACGGCCCCATTCTGTTTGATAAAGCGCTTTTCGAGTTTTTCCCTGTTTTCATCCGAAGCCTCAGCTCTCTTCTGACTGAAGAATCCATATGGTGCGAAAATGTCTGCGGTTTGCCGGTAGCCCAGCTCCAGGTCAAACAAATTACTTCCCTGTTTGTAAACTTGTATTGGCGATTGGCTCGGTGGTTCTTGATTCCATAGAACCCATGGTTGGCCAACGTATTTCTGTAAAGGAATATATTGACACAAAGATTGCTTCATAAAGTGTTTGTTACTATATAATACAATTAAGGAGGAGCAAGTGATTCGACTGGCAAATAGCAATGGAAAAACACTTGCTTTGCCTAGATTTCCAGCTCATACCGTCCTTCATGGCTGCCACTTAGGATAGACGATTATTTATATCTTGTAATGTTTCGCGTCTGTCTTATTTTAGAGAAACCCGAGCTGGCAGTAAGAGCTTACCCTTTTTGGCATGTCCCAAAAAGACACATCTCTTCCATGGAAAATAAGAGCTGCGGCCTCGTGAACAATACGACGGTCGCTGGAGACATCGCACGCGATCTTAGAACCAAAGCAGTCGATCTTGATTAGGTCACTTTGAGCTAAAGTCTTGCGCCATACTGAAGTCCACATAAGAAGTGTTGGCCGAAAACGGTTGGCATGGATCCGAACTAAAACCTAAAGGCATAAATAATACGATGAGATTTGTGGATAAGAAAGGTGTCGGGCTTATGAATGCTTGACTATAGACCCGTTTATAGATATTTTTTGACAGCCTCCTGTGCCACGAATAGTAAAGTTCTCGGATGTTTTAAGGGCTTAAAGTGGGTTGATGCGTTACGCTCAGTATTATTATACAATAGCCTTGGCTAAGCTTAAAGTCTACGTTAACCTGTCAACTATCCCAAAGTGGCTTACAATATGACTGGCTGAAAATGAATCTCTTTCTCTCTCTCTCTCTCTCTCTCTCTCTCTCTCTGCTAACCTTAATAGTCTCTGTTTAAGGATTATTTTTCAATAATTGCTCATAAAAATTAAAAAAAAAAATAAAATAAGAACTGTTTTTTTCCTAAGAGAAGTCCAATAATCGAAATTAACTCTTACTCAAGTAAATTATGGCACGGATATGACAACGTCATTGTTCAAGTAGATCTGGCATATTCATGTATAAGAACTGTAAAAATTAATTTTAATCTACAGTTCACGACAATGAGCTTTTACGAATATACTATGAAATAAGCAGCTAATCTTCGACCGCATTTAGATAAACTGTGAGATAACTAGTACCGGCTCTATTTTCACAGAATGCGTACAGAGCTAAAAAAACTTCGTCACCTTTAATATGTATGAGATATCCGATATATTAATCCGAGAATATTCGATAACGTAATGTACTACAGGTTTTACCAAAATCTTCTAGGCAAGAGAGCTTTCGCAAGTGTATTAAGGCGGGTCAATTTCATCCCAGTAAAAATTAATACTGATAGATATTGAAATACATGTTTTGCATTTGTGTCAGCACCAAAAATAGACAAAATAAATAAGTGTCGAAAAAGCAAGTGTCCTACTTTTATTGCTTATTCTTTTATGAAACCTGTCATGGATGATCTTCATAGATATATACAACAAAATTAAATATATTTCGTTAGTCAGGGTCACGGTGAACTTCATGTCGTATACCTCGTTAGACTCCTCAACAAGAACTTCTGGGGCCGTCGTTAAGAAAATGAGCGGCAAACCTGTACTTAGTAGTGTTAAAAGGAAAATCCAAATAACCCGACGTGCAATAAAGCCCCGAAGAAGCCTGCAAAAAAGTATACGGGACGCCATCTGCAATTGTAAAGCGGAGTTTAACCTTGTGTTGACCTCTACTTATATCATAAAAAATCATCTAGCTCGGTCAATAACAACCGTGAATATTCGTGGCTCACTACAACGATAACGACGGGAAGATATCAAACAAACAAAACTCATTATATCAGTAAAATGTTGAAAACGATAAGGACCAATATACTTACTCGCGTAACGTAAACCTCAGCTGGATTACAAGGAATTTCTATTCAGAAACGTATCGTTGAAGCGAGATTAGAGTAACTAAAATAGTCGATCGCCATCGTCATGCCTCACTCACCTGCAGCGGAACGGGCACAGGCATATTAAAAACAAAGTTAAAAACTGTTGTCTTATGTGTTTGTCGGTCATCGAGAACTGCCACCGTCAATTAAATCGCAGTAATTTATCAGCTTAAAAGTATCTCTTCCTTTTTTTACGAGGCATATTTCTTGCGCCATATATATCCGAGAATATAGATTTCGAAAATATATGCAGGGATACCATACAAGCATCATATGAATCATTCTATTTTCATAATGTATGAGATTGTGCTTGGCATGGCAGTCTCATCGGAAGATATAATCATCTTTCAGTATCCAGCGTTGATATTTGAAATAGCCGTTGCTATGACCAAGTAGACATTTTTAAATTTACCCTAGAGTATACTCCGAAATACACCTTAGCTTATTCAGTATATTCAATGAATGCATACACACGTTGAGTGAATGAACCAGACCAAGGGCGGGCACTGAAGTGGCGTCTTCAAATGTAATTTGCCACGTAGATAACAACGGTTACGTTGGAATATATACTTGATCATCGCACGATGCCAATTTATAATACGTTCTGCTTTGCTAACGTACCTAGACGTTACTCAACTGTAGACGATATTTTCTGTGTACTGGCGTTAGCTTTACTTCTACAATTGACACAATCAGGGTGTTCTGTTCAATAGTTACGGGTTGTCTACTTTTCATCTACTTTATTCCTATTTTACTGTTGAGCCGATCAGCGTAATCGTTCCGGGACGGCTGGATAGTGCGGCCGTGTCAGGCACGCAATATTCCGTGACTCACGCCTGTCACTAGTCATGCGCGATTCCTTGAGCGAAGTGTCTATATGCTCTTATACACGAGCTGAAATCGGAAGCCAAGTTTGCTGTACGGGCAGAATGGGAAAATACAATGGCAGAAGAGAAGTTCGAATACACTTGGTATTTTTTCATAAATTGCTTTGGAGAAGCTTCTAGAAGTAGAAGTCGGCTAGAGAAGCTAGACATTCTATGAATACCTTGTAACTAAGCGGTAGGCGCAATCTGAAGGGTCGGTCCTAACATCAAGAACTAAATGTTTTAGTCATTTATTCGAGCAGTCAATAGACTTTAGAACATTGTAAATACAGCACCTTACGAGTAGGTGGCACGACACTTGTTGTTGAACACGGTCATCCTTGTGAAGCATGACTTAACTTGATTTGAAAGGCGTCACGCTAACTAGAACTGTCGCTCTTACTTAGTCATTAGCTGACTTAGTGTCCACCCTCATCTACTGGTCTGTTTATTGATGGGATGTCATTAGCCATAAGTTTCAGGCCTGTGTAGAACTTCACAGTGTCGGTGAGAATTTGCCGCGGGAATTCGCTTTCGGGATTTTTCCAATTCATATAAATACATTGCGAAAATTAAGTCTCTCCACATGATATATATACACATATATATAAAACAGGCGTATCTGGCAACAGTTTCTTTTACAGAGGCATCTGCTCGCCTTTCAGCCTACGTTTTTCATTTAGAGGCTAGGGCCTTGCGATGAATTTCTCAGTGTCTTCTTCTCATTCTGTTTGTTTTTTGCAGGTTGGATACTTCATGTATATGGATAATGGACTAAAATTCTTTTGCATAGAAATTCTTTAAATATTTGTGAATTTTGTAGATTGGGCGCGGGTCTTATAGCTACATTGTTAAAACTTTTATTACTCAGTAATATTTCGCATTACAGGGTTCAAGACAAATATATCCAGCTTTTACAGTACTGACCTGAGTCGTTTGTAGACCACAAATTAAAGTGACAAAAATGAAGCTTTAGCAGAGAAAAATACTATTTTTTTTATGGACTTAGGATTCGACCTCGTTTATTCTACCGAACCGCGTTAAATCCTTGTATAAACAACGGTCAACTCTTGTATATGCAATATATTTCCAAACACGTTGGTTCGTCAGCTACAAGCGCTTTGTCGTGTTTCATAAATAAAACGGTATTGTAAAAACAATTATTGCTTATAGGTGTCAACGGATAGCATCATTATTCATTCTGACCTGCTTCCGCATAACCGCGAGTACTAGAAGTAACAGGGGGGAGTCTGTAATGTAAAAGTTAATTCATCTCGCTTCCTTTTAAGGGATTGGCAGTCAGCGGCATCCCTGTTAAGATGTTTATGTGCGCATGATGGTTTGTTAATCAGGTCACCTTCATTGTATTAGCACTTAGCTCACTTTTCTCTTAGTATCAGTATGTTTTTTCTATGAAAAACAGACGTTCTTAGATCATAAAGGAGGTTGGTTATTTCCTTCCCATTAATCATACGATTTATGAAACCGCACGCCAGAAGCTCAAGTCACGGGTATCATTTGCGAAATTTCGATTTGGGCCAGAAAGATCCGGAGGCAAGCCTACTTCTTCACATAGATCTTTACCGAATTCCGACTTCCGGGCGTATTTATTGTGAATAAAAAATTTGCGTTTTCTGTTCAGATGAAGCAAAAAGTTACGCTTTTCATACACAGTTGGCGCGCTCTACACTGAAATACATCACAGGTAAGTACTCGTCAGTAGACATCAGAGTCTCAATGGCAGACGGCCTCAGGGACATTGCACTTTACGTCTGTTTATCCAGGAATTGTTGAATAAATGGCTATCTACTTAATACCCGAACGATTGAAGAAAAAATAAGGCTAATGAAGGTTGACGCGAAAGGCAATCAATCCTACTGAATTGAGTCTGCAGGATAAGCGGGTCTCGTTTTTGGTCCCGCTATAAATCTCGTTTGTCTGACGTCGTACAGAACCTAACCGAAATAACGTCGGTCAACTGATATGGTGGTATGCGACACTCTTTCCTATCAGTTTGTAGCACTATTAAAAGAACACTGGAATTGACATAGAGTGATGTATAAGGGAGGAATCAAGTGTCCGATTAAGGGTAAATTGGAGCACGGCGTATATTTCCTCAAAAAAGCCCGAAAAATAGAAATATAGATGTTGTATAGATACAAGGCCGAGCAGGCAAACCTCGCTTCTTTTGTCCAAGAAGACTCCAGAGCTTGAATCTATAATTGCGGCATTGAAGATTTGCCAAAAGCATCGGCTTATCATCGTAATAGTCAATATTTCGTTAGTATTATTTGTCTCAACACAGTTTCACAGTCAGACAATGCGATGACAAAGAAACTCATACAACAAAATGGTGAAAAAATATGTAAAACTTTAATTCTTTTAGCGTTTTTATTATTAGATGTAGAAATAATTATGCACCGCCTTACGTTGTATTCTACGATAAAGTCCAACGACATGTATTTACTGGAACATGTAACACAGAAGGTAGTGTCGCCTTAGAAGATCATAAACTCTACCTTAAAGCATACCAACCATTTGAAGTCCAACTACCTCCAAGCGCTTGATTTTTCAATCGACTTCACTCAGTTGTTTTCTGTTTCTTCTGGAAATAACATCCCAAAGACGAGGTGATTTGAACTGTTCGGCATAACTAAGTGTAAGTAATCAGCTGTTACACTTCGGCTGAATCGCGCAGTATTTCTATGTAAGGTCAATTGATACTATTGGTAGGCTTCAGTTTTTTTTTTTGGTGTACTTACTAAATTAATTACGTCGGAACCAAAAACAAAATGTGAATAAAAACTGAGCCATTATGATCAGCCCATTGCGCAGAGGTGACTGAGGTAACTTTTAAGTTCGTGGTAAGATGTGTATGCCGAGCATTATGCTTGACATGTACTATCCAAGATTTACGAAAATTTGCTACGCGCTAGTGTTTGGCGTAGATGTTAATAACTCTTACAGCAGAGATGCCTGAGGTGACGTAGTTACATGCTTAGTATTCGATTATAAAAAAAGAAAACCTTGTAAGTACTTCAAGGCTTGAATTCATATGGCAGTTAAAAACGCTTAGGTGCCAAGATGTATATATATATATATATATATAAAACCCTATAAAATATAGATCTAAAAGCGTTTTTAACAGCCATATGAATTCAAGGCTTGAAGTACTTACAAGGTTTTTTTAAACCTTCTTTCAGCGGACTACGTGCGATGAACCCAGATGACATTGGCCAAGGCACAAAATGCACTAAGCGCAGCTATTTTGCCAGAGAATCCTCAGAAACTTTATTATAAAAAATTTATTTAGGATAAATCTTTTCGATATTTAGCCTGGAATGGCACCAGCTGCAGTATATGGTAAATAGATATTATCAAATAGACTTAACGTTCCTAATCTGGCAGCACACGGTTGGATAAAAACTTTTCAGTAAGTGCAGGCCTAGCAGGCGCTAGGCGTATTTGTTTGTTTACGCCTCCTCGCCTACCTAGCAGGTTAATACGAATGTCATATGACCAGTAATCAGAGAAATCAGAAAGGATGAAAAAATGATAGCGGTGGTCAATCAATGAGGTGTGAAGGTAGATTGAAGTCGCATGACAAATCAGGACTTGATTTGAGCATACGCGCTCTCACCATGTGCTTTGTTGAATTAAAGGTTTTTATAAACCAAGCGACATACGTTTGTGTAAGTACTGCAATTTGTTACTTACAAATGTTTGTTATGTAATGTTGTAACTTCGTGCTTCAACGAGTTCTGGGCGGTCGCCTCACTAATACGACTGACGGTACCGTTTTTTCCCGATGAAGGATAAATCCAGGTCTACATACGAATCATATATGTGTAGTAATACCGTTTTCACACACATAGTGTCTATGAAGCGTTTATGGCTAAACAGAAGACGTTGTTGGCTCAGTTTCAATAGACTAATTGATTATTGGGAGCTTTAATTTTTTTTATTCAATATTCCATCTCGAAAATATTAAAACCTCTACAGATTTGATTTAAGGGAAAGAAGGTAGTGTTTATCACTTGACTGTATTAGAAAATTCGTGCTTTAGAAAAATTATCTTGTTTTTGAGAAAAACCAATGATGAAGCATCACACGATCATTGGGCTTTTATAGATACTAATAATAGCATCGATGCAGAAATGCCCTAGACTAAAGTAACTCAGGACTTATGGGAAAGAAGTTAGAAACTAACTTTATAACCCCGTTATAATCAAACGAAAAAGATCTTAAAGCTCATTCGTTTCCTATGCGTTCGCTTTCAGATACCCACAGCATGCCTACAGCGCCCTCGCAGCGTGGTAGCAATGAGTCGACGATAACAGTGTATGCCGGT